ATTAACTTTGACAAAACGGGCATAAAAATAACATATTTTGCAATAATTCTGACCAATATTCATTCAAAATTGTTATTTTTATTGCCTGTTGTGTCAAAATTAATTTCACAAAGTGTCAATTTTATTGAAGGTAATATAATTTCCATTGACAATTGTGTGAAAATTAATTTCATTATGTGTCAATTTGAAAGAAATGTTAATTTTATTGCAAGTTTTGTTAAATTTATTTTTAATTTTTGTCAAATTTGTGGAACTAATTTGACATTTTTATTACCCGTTGTGTCATTTTTATTTCACGCTTTGTTAATTTTATTTCACGATTTGTAATGAGCCAAAAAAAGTCCCATTTTCCCCTTATTGGATATTGTAAAATCTATTGACTAGATCGAGAGGAGAGTAAGTTCATCTGACTTTGTTACGAAAGAGGAGAGTAAGTTTCTTTCGACTCAAAAATGGTTAAAGGCGAGTATGTTCATTTTTGGCGGGTCCTCGCGGTTTTCTACGGTTTCCGCGGAACTGATAAGAGATAACAACTTGGTGTCTTCGGCAAAGTTTTAGCACTTGAGGTCTTCTATAACATTGCTGAAGTCAATTATCTCTTATCTTTTATTAGTTCCGCGAAAAGCGCGAAAAATGATAAGAAAAAAAAAGTTCTATATAAAATTTGCTTTTTTATATGCGCGATTTAAGAGATAGATGTCTTAAGCAATTTTATAGAACACCTCGAGTACTACAACTTTGCCGAAGACACCATGTTGTTATCTTTTATCAGTTCCGCGGAAACCGTGAAAAACCGCGGAGGCTAGACGGGATGCCAACATACTTCCTTTTAACGCAGATAGAATCAACAGAAATCATACTCTCCTCTTTCAAAATATATTCGAATTTTTTTACATACTCTCCTCTCGATCTAGTCAATAGAAATGTGATTAAATTTCAAAATATCCATTAAAAGAGTTTTGACAAAAGTATCATTTTCAGTGAAAATAGAGCAAGTTGAAAAATTCACTTCAATCCGACCAATTTTTCGACCATGAAATGCCCTCAGATCGCATTGTGACCACTTTTAATCGATTGCTCGTCGAAAATTGAGCGGATATGGTCTTCGTGAGCTTTTTTCAGCCAGTAGATGCGTATTTTTGGCAGCAATTTCATCGTAGAATGCGACTCTTCGTACAAATTTCGTTCATTGATGAATTGCATATGCCCAGAACTTCGAAATACGAATTTTCCCGGATATGTGGCATATGCCATTTTGTTGGTATGGTAGCCGGCTACAAACGCTCAGGTTTTGGTAAAAGATTGTCGGGCTGATTCTTGAGAAATCGCGTTTGGTGTGAAATTTAAGGGGGTCGATTTTTCATAAAAATCGACTTTTTTCTTTTATATCACATAAACATTGGCATGTGTGTATGGAACTTTTTGAAGGTCTTCTCAAATAACTACGAGCTGAGTTTGCCCGATGGGTGTCTGAGTTGATCTAGTGAGCCATAGCCAGCTCTCCTGAAATGCAAATGTCAATCTGAGGACGGATTTCAACGTGCCCCGACACTAGCTACAACTAAGGCATATGCGCATCAGAAACCGAAGAAGGTACGGACAAACGAACGAACGTACGCACATCCAAATCAATACTTTCATAGAAAATCAAGATCAAACTGCCAATACCCATAACTTTTTCGTTTTCGGACCAATCGGGGCACTTAGACCGGCGTTGGAAAGGTGGCGAGGAGGAGCTTCTCCTTGACACCTCAGACCACCCCCTGGGTACACCTTTTGTGGGATATGGATATAGATTTGAAAATTTATCGAAATTTTCCAACCACTGTATTTTTGCCTAGACCACACTTTAGGTATGGTGGATATGGTGTTTTCGACTATTTGGGCCAAGACCTTTCGAACGGTACCTAGCATGCCGGGGCTCAAATAGTATCCTGGAAAAATAGCATATTTTCTCTATATATACTCGTGACGCAAAAACTGGCATTTTTGACATTTGGCTTGAAATGCACAGTTGTTGGAGCGTCACTTGTCGGACTATCGTCCCTAGGGGGATTTAACTACGTGAAAACTTGTAAAAAAATGATATAAACGCGCACGAAATTGTTTCATTCACCAGAGAACTTGCATGATTCCACTCAGTTGACAAGTTCCGTATTAAAACAACATGCGCGAACTTGTGCGAGTTCGTGTGCAAACATGAAGCTGGACGACGCGCACACATCAGTCGTTCCATTTGTTATATTTATCTGGATTAACTTTTTCTTCCAACACTTTCTCCAGCTCTTTAAAAATATTTCCTTTGTCCATTTTATATTTATATAAATCTTTGAACTTTTGGAAAGGATGTGAAAAATCTTTATACACGTAAACAACCGATTTTTAGTTTGTAACGCGTTTTAGTTGTCAAATAACAACTTGAAAAACGCGCAAAACCATAAACAAACTTGTGTAAACTTGTGACCGTGCGCGTCAGTACGTACAACGAACGCGTCGAACTTCCGCGAATCAAGCAAACTGGCAGAAAACATGCTGAACTCGTAAGAGTTAAATTCCCCTAGTATCGTCCTCTGTGATAGCACTAAGTTTATTCGTGTGCTAAAATATTTTATTCATTGCCAAAACAGGTCATGTGAAAGTCGTGGAAGCCCTCATCGAACACAATGCCGACGTCAATGCTGAAAATAGCAACAGAATGACGCCATCGGATCTGGCTAAATTTAAGGGTAATTGCCTTAACTCACAATTTAGGACAAAACAATAGATTTGATTAAATAACATTTCAGGTCATGTGAACGTCACTACATTCCTTGATAAACACATTGCAAAGATCCATGCCAAACATAATGGAAACGAAAATAATATATTGGTTTTTACTATCGTTGGTGTGGTGATATTGATTGGAGCTTTTACAATTTTGTCCACATCTCTGTACTTTCAAATGAGACGTAAGAGTCAATTGATACATAAACAAAATGCAACAGAACTGCAATATTTTGAGCAAGGAAATGTGGAAGGTATAAACTCAAACCTAACGTTGGACGAACAGGCCGATCTCTTGCCCTACGACAAAAAATATGAATTCCCCCGTGACAAGCTGAAACTCGGAACTCAGCTTGGCGGTGGTGCTTTTGGTGTTGTTTATGAAGGAATTGCACATGGCATTTTGGCTTATGAGGAGAAAACAAAAGTCGCCGTTAAAATGGTCAAAAGAATGTCAAATGAAGAGGTTAGTCATGCATTTCGGGATTTATTTTGGAGAAAAAGTCCAATATTTCTTATTTTTTTCGGATAGATAATGCGCGCTCTAGTTTTGGAGCTGAAGATTATGGTGCATTTGGGCCAACATTTGAATTTAGTCAACTTATTAGGGGCAGTCACCAAGAATATTATTCGATGTAAGAAATAAAAATCACAAGATTTTCATTATAACTTTTATGCGGACATTTTTTATTGTTGGTTCATGTTTCAGACAATATGATGATCATAGTTGAATACTGTAGATATGGCAATTTGCAAAATATCCTCATCAAAAACCGTCCATCGTTCATCGACCAGATTGATCGCGATACGGATTCAATCAATAAAAACATAAGCGCTAGAGGGCAACAGTACAATAATGGCAGGTAATTCCATTCAAACCTGGAATTGCCGAACTAAACATTAAACTATAATATGATAATTTTCAATATAACAATTTGTTCAAAGTGATCAGATGGATCAATATTCGATTATAGGCTCATTATACGTTCGAGGTTCGAATAATGTGGATCACGGAACAGACGATGCTTCAGGTGATTTTGACATTACACGTGTATTTCCAGTATAGTTTAATGCTTTCCATTCGTTTTGTGCAGATGATGCAGGCACAAGCACATCCAACAACTCAATTGATTCTGATGATGTGATCAACCAGATGACAACGACCGACTTGCTTTGCTGGTCCTTCCAAATAACACGTGGAATGCATTATTTGGCATCTCGTAAAGTGTTGCACGGTGATTTAGCAGCAAGAAACATTCTCTTGTGCGACAATAACGTGATTAAAATTTGTGATTTCGGCTTGGCTCGATCTTTGTACAAAACTGATATTTATCGCAAGAATAAAGAGGTAAATCGGGCCACGAAACTCATTATATAAATCGTTCAATATGTCTAATAATTCGTAGGCACTGCTTCCATTCAAATGGTTGGCTCTCGAATCTATCGAGGATCACGTATTTAGTATTCACACTGACGTCTGGGCCTTCGGAATTGTTCTATGGGAATTGTTTTCGCTTGGAATGACGCCATATCCTGGTTTGGATTCAGGCCAGGACTTGTACCAAAAATTATTGGACGGTTACAGAATGGAAAAGCCAAATTATGCCACTCAAGATGTGTAAGAGACAAATGATTTTTAGAATGTTAACGAAACGAATAATTGAAAATTCAATTTTTATAGATATGACATTATGTTATCCTGTTGGGGGAACATTCCTGAATCACGGCCATTGTTCGATGAGCTTGAGAAAAGTCTTTCGAAGCTTTTGCCGGCCAATATTAGGCAGCGTTTTGTCAAATTAAACGAACCATATTCAAAGTCAAACGTGGAGAAATACAAATGTGGAACGACGGATTATACAGTCTTAATGGGAATGACCGATTCTCGTGCACCATCCGTATCAACGCATACATGCAATGAAATTGTTGAAATTCATCAACAAACCGACATTTCATCAATAAATTAGAGCGATTCTTCCTCTAGTATGCAAGGATAATTTGTGTGGATTTTACCTTTTGGAGTCATTACCATATTAAACTTTCCATTTCTTTTTTGGGTTTGTACTTGATTTCCATAGATACTGACGACATTTAAAATACTGATAACATTTAAAAAAAGAAATGAAAGATCCACAGAATGAAAATCAATATCAGACGACCCTATGCATTCGTTTTGCAACACAAGAATGAAGAGAATAAATAAAGTAAGACTAAGAGTGGGCTCTAATTTTCTGTTTAATTTCGTTGGAAATGCATAGAGCAGTTTGTACACAATTAATTCCGCACAAAAACAATATTCCTCTTGATATCAAGTAAAAACTTTCATATAGAAATTATCTTATCTGAACTTAACCATATAACGGTTATATATAAAAACGCAAAAAACGGATACAAAAAATACAATATATTTCGTTATTTCAAATAACTTATTTGGTGTGATTTCGTTGAAATAAAGGAAGCATAAATTCAGAGGAAGTTTGATAAAAATGTCAACTTTTTATCCCATAATAAAATTAAATAAAAAATGCCAACACCGAGAAAGATAAACTCGGTAATAATATCATAGCATGATATTTATAGTATGAAATCTGAGTTGATGTGGGTCGGTGAAATGAGTGTCGTGAAATCAGTTGTGTTTTTCTCATAGGGCTATAGAAACGACCATAAAATATATTTCGACGTGTCAACGCGTCATTGACTTTCTTTTACGACATCATCAACGGTAACGCGTACAGCGATAATTTGTGACTACGAAATTGGTTAACTTTTCAATTCTATGGGCGCTGCCATATTGAAAATTTACGTGCGATATGGTGCACGCGCTCAATAGTTCCACTTATTTTAATAAGGAATCTCTATAGGTGGCGCTGCCACATCGTCATTGACATCGAGTCAAATATTGTCAAATATAATAACATTCTTTATATAGGCTTTTATCGCAGTACGCGGTAACGCTAACTGTCCAACAGTTAGAGACCAAGTCTCATTTCATCATGGCCATTCGTTGCGGCATAGTGAACAATTCAAGGTCAATGACAAGCACATGAAGTTGGTGCGCGAGGCTCCAGTTCCTCAAATGTGCAAAATGGCGAACATGGTGCCGGAACTGTTCACAGCAGCGACCTGATTTCCTCAAAGACGAATTTTGCATCATCGGTTCGCAAAATGACGGACACCATTTTTGGATCGCTTTGCAAACTCAAATGACAACCTGGCCGCCTAGTCAATTTTTCATCCAGGTAACCTCATTTTTTGTATATGTTCTCTACGAGAACACCTTGATACAGCCCACATTAATGATGAAATTTCGATTTTCATGCTGCCGTTAAACCCGATCCATGATCCCAAGCGGACGAATTCACCAAGGACAAAGCATACTGCCCGGGTGCCATTTGGGTTGCTTCTGATTGCAACAAACATGAGCGGGGCTGTCCCAGGTTCCAACCACTCACGTGGAAGTCAACACATCTCACACGGATCACACAGCAAAATCAATACTAAAAGACTGACGAATTTTTCCATACATTCTTTTATGTGTATTGAAAAGATGATACTTATCTGTGATGTTTACACTTATTTATTGTAAATTTTTATTTTGATTTTGATTTTGTGCTTTGTTGTAGCCAACCACGAGTTGGCGAGTTAATATTCTTATCTTTGAAGTCAATTTTGAATTATTTAATTAACTTATTATTTAGCATCAAATGATCTAGTTACGTTTCAAATCATGGTCCATGTCAACTCAATGCACTCTGCAATCAACATGGATCTGCCTAAACCGACGCAAAACTTCTCATCAATTTATCTATCCCGACGAGAAATTTGCGGAATATCGCATTGCGACTATTCTACGTATAGTCGCAATACGAAAAAGTCCGTCGAACGCAGCCAACTTCACGTTGGTTGTACGAAGTTTCAAGTCGAAATGTCACACTCGATCCAGTTACAACTTCACATTTATCGCAGCGCGAATAGTCGCAGGGTATTCAGCGATAACATTTTGCGGCAACTTTTATTGTGGATACCTATTCGCATTGCGAGTATCCGTACTCAAAAACGGATATGCGACGGATAGTCGACGTACACCTATTTTACCGCAAATTTCTCGTCGGGTATCGGATAGATTGAGTGACAACTTTTGCAGTCTCAAAGTCTTAAATTTAACGCGTAACAGTTAACGCTTCACATAGCCTTTGTCCCTTTGGAAACGTTTACCAAAGGTTATCCTGGACCGTTTACTATAGACTACTATAAGCATTTCCATCTTGATTGTATGACTGCTTTCGTTTTCATGTTCCTACTATTGTGATTACCTCATAATTTACGAAAAGAGCCAGGTTTTTAACGAGGCGAGAACTGAAAGTTATCGAAAGTTACTGCTACCATTGTTCATTATTTATAAAAATTGTAACAGTCTTGCACTCTTTTCCGGCCAAACCTCTAACAAAACCCAGATTATATTCAGCCAGAGCTTGACGGTGTTTAATAAGATAAAAATATGTATTTTATCAAGTTTCCAAGTTTATGCATAGTGTCGAACTTTTGTTCCAGCTCTACTATATATCTAAATGTACAGTAAAATAATTTACGGGCACGACGTTAGATAGTGTTTTTTCTGGTCAAAAATATTGAAATATCCCTTCGGTTTTTCTTCTACAACCATTGTTTTATTTTGAGCTATTCTGCTTCTTTCTGCCACCCAAACTTTTCATAAAAACAAACTTTTCATCAAGATACCTACCCAAAAAAATTATATTTCGATGTATTCCTGAACAAAAAATGATAATTTCGATTTTTTAGGATTTGAAATTGAACCAACCGAAAATGAGGGCAAAAAAATGTGAAATCATCACTCGATTTGGTCATGTAGACACTCAAAATGTTCATGAGGGACAGGGTTGGCATATTTACACAATTTTTAAGCCACGCATGTAATCTACGTAGATACAAAATTACGTTTTCTACACGTAAAAAATTTGTAAGATGTAGAAAACCGCTAAACTACCCAAACTACATATACAGTCCATGGACTGCTAGAGTCAAATCACATAATACTAAACGCATCCATTCTTAATAGGAAAACAATGAAAAATTAATGGGTGCGTTTAATATTATGCAGCATTTACGTGCATTTACGTTCGACACTAGCAGTCGTCGATAAAGTCAGTCAAAAAAGTGTTCGTTCACCCCTTTTTGCAACAACTTTGATTTTGTCAGAAAACTATGACGTGTAGCTCAAAGATCCCAACTTAAATGAAAAAATCAAGGAATTTCACGAAAGACAAAACAGGTGAAGTTCTTGGAAGCATATGATTTATAAATAAAAAAAATATGGTAAAAAAGTGTTCATTCGTCGATAAAAAATCGACTTTCGAATAATTTTTCGAGCTCTGATTTAGCCAAAGTTACATGACATTTTCAGGTATATCAAGTTAAAGTCCACAATTTGATTTGTTGAGATATTATATCTGTTGACTGATTTTCATGTGGGCATATTAATCTCGTGAAAAAAGTAGCTCCATGACGCCAGATAATGCGTGAGTATATTGGAAAGTCATGAAAAATCTACATACAGTATTGGTGCGAAAAACAAAAAGTCATGACTTTCCAATACACTCACGCATTCAATGAGTCATATTAACTCTGATTCTTTGACTCGACTGACTCACTGCCTCTAAAATGGAGTCAGATTCCAATTTATTTCTAATGACTCATAAAGAGACGGTCACATCAAGTTTGACTCACTTTGGACAAAATAATGACTTTGATTATGACTCATATTGTGACTCACTTCATGACTCAATTGTAAAACAGTGATTCCCTTTTCCGAACAGGAGTCATAGAGCTACATTCATACGAAAAAAAAATTCGATTTCATGTACTTGCCATGGGAATGTATCAAAAATCTACTTTTTCAAAAATGTTGACGATTAATACTTAGCCACCAGACAAGATTTTTGCAATCCGGAAGTGGCATTTGCCAGCACCATCCGAGTACTAATTATAGCATATTATGGTTTACCAGCATTATTCCCAGGCGGTGCTGATGAACTTTGTTGCATTGTGATATCGATTTTCATACATTTTTTTTTCAATTTTTGTCGAATTTGTGCTCGTCCTGTGTGATAGCACGAATTGTGTGGTCAACGGTGCAAATTGGAGGACGTCAAGACCTTTCATTATCAGCCCTCAGATCATGAAAATGTTGAAAATTTCACTTGGAGTTGATTGTCGGCGCAAAACCCTCAAATCTACGAAAAATTGGAGCGTCATGGAGCTGAAAAAAGTAACGTTTTTCCTTGGAAAACTCTTATTCATTTCGAACTCCCATTCATTTTGACCATTGACAATGCAAGAGAGTTGGTTTTGAAGGAGAAACCTTCTGGTCGCGGCAACCACAGTTCGCATTTCGAGCTGGAATTCGAACTCGAAACTAGGTGCAAAATTTGCCACTTTTCGGACAAAAATCGGACCATTTCTCAAAATTTCGATTTATTGCGCAATTTTGAGGTTTCAGCTCCGTAAACTTCCAAAAGCCCCAACACTTTTTATTTTGAAATATATGTGTTTTTGGGCGCAAGCTATCACCATGTAAAATTTGAGCGTAATCTGATGAAAAAATCCACGCTACGGCCCTGGCAAAACAATGCATTGAATCACATTTTGGAACTTTAACGCGATAAGAAGCACACGTTTCGTAATAATCTATCAAATGGCGTAAGATCAGAACCAAGAACAAATAAAACCTCTCTCAAAAGTACCGATGTGAATACTATACAGTGAATCTGTCATTGTATATACATTAAGCAGACACCCTCGACGCGCTTACTTGTGTGTGTACTGTGTATTATTGTGAAGGACAATCTTCACATTCAATATGTGTATGATGATAGCTTCAAATTATGCTGGATAGATGGTGACTCAGGTGTATACGTCAAATCTCTATAATGTATTTTTATAGGAATAAAGCGATAACGAAATGTGAAATGAACTCAATATGTATTCTAATGTTTGCGTCATAAAACAATTTTATTACGAATAGATATGGTATTCCTTAGATACAAAACTGTTGCACAATACACTTGTTCTCTTGTTCGATGAGAAACATGAAATATTGACGAAATTTCATTCCATCGAAAATTGTCGATATATAGGTCATAATTAAATGTTAATATTTAATTTTATGCGTGTGTAATGTATTATTGTTACAATTGTGTAAATGAAAAAACTGAATGATGACAATCTGATGATATTAGCTGTAGATGGGAGTCCCACGTCGTTACAATTATCATTTTCGCATGTATTACACCAATAATTTGTTTTGCACTCCTCCCGTTCATCAACGCTTAGGTCAACCAAACAGCCCCTTTGTACTTTATCACCTGAAGAAGGTGATCGTTCCAATTTAAAAAAGAATGTCAAGCATTTTAAGGGCAAATTTTAAAATACCTCTATTGATTATGTAGCAGCCTCGTTCAGTAAATGAATATGGGTCGTATATAGCTGTTTTCACCGCATTATCAGTAACGCTAGAATTATTATGAATGGGTACACATTTTACGTTGAACGTTTCAGTTCCGTTAGCGGGATTTTTGCAATCGATATCGTCTGTACTATGGCATTGCAAGCAGAAACTGAATTGAATGTTTTCATTATTGCAGCCGTGACCTTTGCACTCATTACACTCATCGATGTCTTTGCACCAATCAGGATCACCAACGGCTGCATCAAGAGTGCAGCCCCTCTCAACTGAGCCATCACTAAACGATCGTGTGTAACACGATTCTTCCGCTCCGAACTGTTTTTTTTTTTAAATAAAAAATCAACCGACTCTGGTCAAATGGGAAAATTTCCACATAAACTTGAAATGGATACATACAATCACCGGCATGTTGCAGTTAACAATGGTATCCTGGTTGACCAGTCCAAAGGTGCAGTTCGTTGAGTCCTTACATTGGTGACACTTCGACGTTGGTTCAATGACTAGTGTGCGATTATTGCATCCATTTTCGCTACAAGTCACACACATGTGCGGTCGTTTTAGACAGAATAACCTACTTTCTTTCCAGTCGGTCAGACATCCACGATGCATATTATGTTCTAAAAAGACAACGTTCTACAGTCGATTGTTTCTCAGACAGACAAAATAATATTGCCTACCGTCGTCCATATACATAAAACACTGGTCGATCTTTGAATACACGGCGCACGGTTTTTCTTCTAAGGAAACATTTTCATTTGTTCTCAGGCGATCACACAAGCGGTCTCCGTCACATTGGAAGCATTGTAAACGATTTTCAGGGAATATATTACCATTGCATTTACTCTCTTCGCATACATTATGCATTGAGAATTTGTTGGGATCTGAGTTCCTCGTTTGGTTCGAAACACATTGCCGTACCGTGAAACCTTCTGAATCGATAGCAGTCAGACATTGATCCAAATAATTTGGGCACATCGTAAGGGCTTGCGATGGATCAGTTTGAGCACAAATTGGATCGTTTCGGCTTGTACAGACATAGCAATACTGAAATTCGACTTTCTTATTACAGTTGTCTCCTTTGCAAGTTTGGCATTGGTCCGTGCCATTCAAACATTTGAAGCGGTCTTGAGCGGTAAGATCGGATACACAGCCTCTTCTAGTTCGATTAGTGCTATCCCTCATTAGGTAGCAACCCAAGTCTTCGTCAGGTGAATTAACCAAACCACAGAGTTTTTGGTATGTCAATTCTGGTTCACTATGACATCGCTTGTCTTTCTCAGAATCGCATGAAATACATTTAGCCCCATTGAATCGCTTACTGTTGCAAATCTCTCCATTTTCACTATTTTTGCAAATGTCACACTTTTCTGGAGAGTCATGACACACTTTTTCGGATATTCGCGACTTCCAGTCCATATCATTTGAACACCCTCTGACAACAATGTGAAATCCAATAACGGAAAAACACGAGTCATCGTAATTGTTACACAATTTAACCGAAGTGCCGGATAGAGTTGGATTTGAGATGCAATCAAAATTGACAGAAGAATCGCAAGCGAGACATTTTGTAAATGTTGTCTTTGAATTACAATTGTCGCTTCCACGGCAATATTTCCATTTATTTGGCTGCTTTGCTTCAAGGTTTCGATCATTTGTACTTAAGCTTGAAACACAACCCCGCTTTGTGTGCCCACCAGTTTCGTTGATAAAATGGAAACACCCCAGGCGACGAATCGATTTCTGGGGACAAACCTCTGAATTTTCTAATGTTACATTAGACCTACAATTTGAATCATCGTTTGAGTCGCACGATATGCACGATTCTTTTAGGGGACGAATATCATTGCACCCAATTCCTCCGCTGCACCGTACGCAAGTATCTTTATTTGTACAATCTCCCTTATCCGATCTGAAATCATCGAGACATCCTCTCGTAACAATACCATCATCGTTGATATGAGTAAAACACTCGTCCAGATAGTGTTTACAAGTTTGCAATTTAGTTATCCATGGAGTCGTTATGCAAGCATATCCATCTTGAGCTGAACTACAGTTGCAACAATAGGAGAAATGTTGCTTTATGTTACATCCATCACCAAAACAATATTTGCAGGTGTCACTCTCAGCCAGACACAGCTCGCGCAGTTCTGAATCGGTTGACATGCAGTCACGTTTAACTGAAGTTCCATTCTCAAACAGCAAACATCCCAATGGTCGGATTGATAGCGGACATTGACCACGCATCGAATAATTTGGAGAATAATTGCAAGCCGTTTGATTTTTTGAGTCACAAATTATGCAAAATTCCTTTTGAATATTTTTATTGTTGCAGTCGATGCTTCCAGAGCATTTCTCACAAACGTCTGAATCTTTGCAGTCAGACTCAACGTCAATTCCATCCTTCAAAAACGTCTTGGCATCACTAAGGCATCCTTTTCGAATGACATTATTTGCCACATGTGTATAACACTCATCTTTGTGATTCGTACAAGTTTTCGATTCGAAAGTGGCTGTACCAATAGTCTGCGGGTCGGAATGACTGCCTGTCAAGCATTTCTGGAATACCTTTTGTTCGTTAGATGCATTTTCTACACTCTCTTTGCACTTGTTCTTATTTGATTCGCACAATCTACGAAACTGTTCATCTTGTACATCTGATATGCATCCCCGTTTGATTTCATCATTTTCCTCCAAGTGATAGCAACCCATCAACTTTGTTGACAACCGGCACTTCTTAAGCATTTTCGATGAGACATTATCTCTGCAATTCGGATCTTTGCTATCGCATGTGATACATGATTCGGTTTTGATAGCGATATCATTGCAAGCATCGTCTCCACTACAGCGCAAGCATGTGTCTGGGTCCGTACAATTGTGCTTGTCGGTAGGAAATGTACTAAAACATCCTCTCGAAACAATGTTCCTATCGTCAATATGAGTGTAACAATCGTCCACGTAATTTTGGCATGTTTCGAGATCGGTAAGCCAAGGTGAATTCATGCAATCATCATCCAAAGCATTATATGATTTGCAACTCTGACATACAGCGAAGTAACGTTGTTTGTTACATTCATCGCCGAAGCAGTATTTACAGGTTTGATCCTTTTCGTTCAAACATAGTCCGCGTAATTTTTCATCAGCCGACATACAGTCACGCTTCACGGAATTCTTTTGATTTTGATACATTAAACATCCTTGTGGCTTGATGGATAACGGACATTGCCTGGCCATTTTAGTCGATGGATCATGTTTGCAGTCCGGATGAGACTCAGAATCACAAACTATACAAAATTCTTTCTTAATTTCTTCATCATTGCACATTGGTGTCAAGCATGTCTGGTAAGTTGTAGAATTCGAATCCAATAACCTTTTGGATGAACTGTTCGCATTTTCATTTGACACACAACCTCTTATAATTTTTCCATCTGTGAAATTTGAAAAAAATCACGCTCATGATTGCGTACTCCAAAAATGTTACCGATTAAAGATACGGCAACAATGTTGTTATCATTTAAAAGTTAAGGACATTGCCAACGTGACAGTGAGAAGCACTGAATCTAATCACGCTTCTTACTTTGGATCTGTGTAAAGCACATTTTCACATTATTAGCACAAATTGTCGTCAACCGATCTGCGTTTTTATTCAGGTTGGGTGCTGCACAGCTTTCACCCGATTCCGAGGAACATTCATAGCACTGGAGAGGTGGATCTGTAATATTTTTCATTGAAATTTTATGAACAACCAAATCCATTAGATTTTTCCAAAGAAATGTTTCAAGTGTTCATATGTTAATTCACCGGGAGGTTGACTGGGAACTTTCTTCAGATTGCATAATTTATAAAAAAAAACTCACCTGCTTTAACTAAATGGAAGAACAAAATAAAAGCAATACAACTATCTAACAGAATTTTCATTTTAGAGAACTTTTATTAAACTACGTTTTATTGAAATTCATCCAATGTTTTTCGTGGGGAGTCTATTGCCAAAGTTAATATCACGACTGCTGGCTGGCAAATGATGAAAATTTTTAATTTAACAAGTTAATTGAGAAGGGTCTGTGAGACGAGCACGTATATATATTGACGCATTGACTTGAAGAAAAAAAATTGATAAAAAAGTGTGTTCAATTGATGTAATCGATCATGCGTTGGTTTTCGGTGAACAACACATTATATTTTTAAGAAATGTGACAATGATAGTTCTCAAATTCGTCTGTAATTGAGGTTTTTGTAGTCCATTTGACCAACATTAATACTTATCTTACCATTAGACATCTAAATCACAACCGGATACTACTACTTGAGCTTTGTATCGTACTGGAAAATTACCACATTGTTTTCGATAATAGCATGCTATGTATATATACATTTATCAAGATATTTGTACAATTGAATACCTGACATTGATCTTCTACTTGATATGAAGATTAGTCCTTATTTGTATTTGTAATCAAAAGGCACTCGCTAGATTCAATCTCCGTAACACACATAAGAATGAATGTAGTGAGAATTTTCAATCTCAACACTTTCTACGTTCAAACTGGCAATCCATATTGAATCTAGCCAATAGGTAACATATAGAGTATACAATTGTTCTATTGTTTAGTACTATGAATAAAATATTGTTAAATTGAACAAGGCAACGAATAAACTGTATGACGCAAATTGAATGGAAGCAGAGCTCTTGAATGGCATATCATTGCAGTAATCTGTTTCGCAAATGTTACACCATGTTGCCCCTTTACATCCGTTGTGTTCATGATCGGTCATGTCACTTATACAACCTCTTTCTATCACACCATCTGTAAAGTTTAGTATATATATATGTTTCAAATTCTACGACCATATGAATCCGTACACAGTATTCTTAGAATGTTCATTCTCACCTTGTATCAACGCGTAGCAACCTCGTTTGCTGAAGGGATATGGATCGTAAGTATAGGTTTGGGTGGCAGTATTATTTTGGTTGTAACTATCGTTTTCTTCGAATTCGTCATATCGTATGGGCGTACATTTCAAGAAAAACTCATGGAAACCAAATATAGGATTGGCGCAGTTTTCATCATTCAAACTATCGCATTGCAAGCAGTAGCCGAAGTAAACATTTTCACTATTGCACCCACCATCAGTGCATTCATCACAGTCTTCCAATTCGTCGCACCAATTTGGGTCAGCATCAGTTATGTCAAGAGTGCAGCCTCTTTCGATTGTACCATCAATATGCGATCGTATATAACAAGATTCCTCCGTTCCAAACTGGTTAAGACGTAATAAAATAATTCATACGATTAATTGAAACGATTCATAATCGTTGATTATTTCATACCTCGATGTATATTACTTCATATGAAGAATGGATAAATGGATATAACTTACTCTAACAGGCATTGTGCATTCCACGAGTTTTTCCTGTCCAATCTGTCCATATGCGCAGTCAATTGAATCTCTACATTTGAAGCACGATAACTCCGGCTCGACGAACAGCGGCCGATCATTGCATCCGTTTTCTCCACAAATTGCACATCGCTCCTGGTTTTTTTCACATAGCAATCTCGAATCTTTGGAATCAGTCATGCATCCGCGGTGCATATTTTGATCTAAATAAAAATATTTACAATTTGTTTTGATATTTTCAAAATAAAAAAAATTTGAATCACTTACCCTCGTCCATAAACGTGAAGCACCCATCGTATTTTGAGTACAATCTGCAGGGTAATTCTTCTAAGGATTTATTTACACTTGTTCTTAGACTATCACAAGCTGAATCTCCATTACATTGGAAACACTGTCTACGTTCTTCGGGGTACAAAACTCCATTGCAATTATTTTCTTCGCACAGCTCGTGCATAGAGAATTGTTTAAGTATTGCCACCTCATCCGTTCCATTGGAAAAGCATTTGCGTACCGTGAAACCTTCTGAATCGATAGCAGTCAGACATTGATCCATATAGTTTGGACAAATTGTCGATGCATCGGACGGATGACTATGAACACAGTTCGGATCATCTTTGCTTGTGCACACGAAACAATGTTGAAATTCGACTTTTTTGTTGCAATTGTTTCCATTACAGATTCTGCACTGGTCTGATTTATTCCAACACATTTCCCGATGGTGAATGCTGAGATCGGATGCACAGCCTCTTCTAACTCTATAATTGCTATCGCGAATCATATAGCAACCCAAATCTTCATCAGGTGAATTAGCCAAACTACAGAGTTTTTGGCCTGAAAATTCGGGTTTATTACGACATCGTTTGTCTTTCCATGAATCGCATGAAATACATTTAGCCTCACTGAATCGCTTATCGTTACAAATTTCACCATTTTCGCCTTTGCAAATGTCACACTTCTCTGGAAAGGCACGGCACTTTGCGATTGATTTCCAGCCCAGATCATTTAAACAACCTCTGACAAGAGTCTGCGATCCGATATGAGAGAAACACGAGTCATCATAATCGTTGCATAATTTAACCGAAGACCCGGATAGAGTTGGATTCGAAATGCAATCAGAGTCGACAGTAGAATTGCAAGAGAAGCATTTCGTAAATGTTGACCTTGAATTACAGTTGTCGCGTCCATGGCAATATTTCCATTGATTTGGCTGCTTTGACGCAAAGCTTCGATCATTTGTGTTTAAGCTTGAAACACAGCCCCGCTTTGTATATTCATCAGATTCGTTAATAAAATGGAAACATCCCAGGGGACGAATCGTTTTCTGAGGACAAACTTTCGCATTTTCCAGCGTTACATTCCATCTACAGTTGGGATTTTTACTTGAATCGCATGAGATACACGACTCTGTTTTGATAGGAGTATCATTACAAGCATTTTCTCCGGTACATCGCAAACAAGTATCTTTGTCTGTGCAATTGTCGTTATCTGATTCAAACTCACTAAAACAACCTCGTGTAACAACACCATCGTCGTTTACATGAGTATAGCATTCATCCATATAATGTTTGCATGTCTTTAGAGGGATTGCCCATGGTTTCGTCTTACAATTCACTCCGTCTTGGTTTGAATTACAATAGTGGCACTGTTCGAAGTATCTCTTTTTATTGCATTCGTCTCCAAAACAATATTTACATGAGTCACTCTCGGTCTTACACCATTTTCGTAGCTGTGAATCGGTGGACATACAATCGCGTCCAACAAAATCTATTCCATTTTTATACATATAACATCCAAATGGCCTGATTGATAATGGACATCGTGCTCGCATCAAATGATTTGGAGCTTCTTTGCAAAATGGGTGGGACTCTGAGTTACAAACAGTGCAAAATTCGTTTAAAATTTCCTTATTGTTACAATTCGCCGCTCCAGAGCACTTTTCACAAATATCTGGATCTTTACAGTCGGACAGAATATCAACACCATCAATAGAGAGTTCAGCCCCATCACTCAGACATCCCCTTTGAACTGAATTATCCGCAACGTGTGTATAGCATTCATCCATATAATCCGAACATATTTTCGAATCAAACATCAATGAGTTTGTCTTCTGCCGAGTAAAGTCGTCACTTGTTATTACACATCTCTGGAATCCTGTTTGTCGTGAGTTGCATTCGTTTCCAATGCACTTTTTGCACTGATCGCTATTCGATTCACACGATTTACGGAAATGGTCGTCTTCGATTTCCGAAATGCATCCACGTTTGATCTCATCATTTTGTTCATAGTGATAACAACCCATCAATTCAGGTGATAATTTACACTTTTTGCTCATTTTCGATGAGGCGTTGCTTCTGCAGCTTGGATCTTCACTATCGCACGATATACACGATTCAGTTTCGATTACGTTACCGTTGCACATCGTTGTCGAGCACGTTCGAAATAATGCTGGATCAAATTGATTTTCATATGAAGTATCAGTTAAATTATTTGCTTTCACGTACTCAAGCAAGCAGCCTCGTGTTACAGAATCTTCGGTGATGTGCAAAAAGCATTTATCGTTGTACTCCTCACAGGTTTTTGCATCGCTTCCAATAATCGTCTCACCAACTATTTGGCTATTTGTGTTGCAACGTACAAAATTCTCTCTCAAATTGCACCGATTTTCCATACAGACTTTGCAATTTTCCCCGTTTGATTTACAAAGTGATGTGTCCTCCAATTTCGCTATGCATCCTCGTACCACGGATGAGTCTACAATAGTTCAAGTTGACAAAAAAACAACAACAAATGCATCAGTTTGTGTCCAGATGTACTGGTGTATGACCTAGCCCAAGATTGAAGGGTCTTACCGGTTGAATTGTTAAAATGATAACATCCTTCGTTCTCCGAATATTCACAATTCACAAGCATTGTTTCGTCTGTCTTATTGACGCACTTTGGATTTGTTTTAGAATCACATTCGTAACAAAATTTATCCGTCGTTGACGTCGTATTGTTTTCGTTTTCCAAACCTAAAATGAAATAAATGAGTCATTGTTTTAATGTTGAGTTTTCCTAGAAAAAAAATAGCAACCATTTTAAGATTCAAACTTTTTTCTCCATGTGTTGATCCACATTTTCCCTACAATACAAATGTACTTTCGAATCGCACTGATAACAATACTGTCCAACATCGATTTGTTCGTGATTACAATGCGATTCGTTGCATAATGAACACGATTTATCGTTGAAGTTATAACAACTTATTTGAATTTCCTTTTGCACTTCAAGCAAATATCCTCTTTGCGCGTTAGACTCATTTGCATGCGTAAAATTGTGATTTTTTTTAGCCCCACCCTATCGGTGCTCATTCCGCTGACAGAATATATATCGACGGCTGTTTCACAATTTTCGTTATCGCGAGAGCTACACGTCAAACATGACAGAGGTTTTACCAATACGATAGTATAATTGTTGCATACGTGTTCTGAACATTTTCGGCGTTGCTCGCCATGTTCTGAACAGACAGTCGAGCCACGCGAATCATCCAACATACAACCACGATAAGCGTCATTATTTAAAAAAGAAATTGGTCGAAATTATGCCACGAATACTTTGAGCTATCATTAAGGCAAGAGGTGGAAACACTCAATACTAGAAATAGCAAAATTCATATTTTTTCCACTCAATATTATTGATTGTTAGTATTTTTATACTCAATATTATTATTCTAAAAAAACACACCGTAACTCAATTTTATCCCGCGCAAAAAAAGACATTCTTCTACATTTTTTCCTCTTAGTTTCATCACATGGAATGATACGTGTGACGGCATATTTTCACACGGAACTTCATTCCCAGTGCCCCGTGCACTTGCTATACATAGAGCGAACGTATCCGAATATTGGAAACCACACGTTATTAAATGTAGCTAGTGCTCGGCGCACTGGGAACGAATTTCCGTGTAAAAATATGCCGTCATACGTATCATTCCATGTGATGGAACTCAAGTTCAATGAAAATTACAAAATCCAAAAATATTTTTCGAAATTACCGCAGATACTTTTAGTTTACATTATTATGCAACAAAAAATGCAGAAAGTTGATTGAAAAAATGAGAAGGGTTCAATGAAATAACCCACGACACATTTTTTGACGATCGTATACTCGATCTTGTCCATGGCTGTATATCACGCAGTTTTCATTCACATTTTCTCATTTTTTATTGTCAATAATTTTTTGAATATTTCTTTGCAGTGGTAAACTTACCATTACCGAATATGTGAACAGACAAAACTGTGAAAACCAAATAATAAAATAGAACACTCATTTTGAACACTATAAGCGCACTTTGAAATTTACTCCGTTTGAAGGAAATACCACTTGAAATTCGGTTACAAGTACCGCATACGGCATAACAATTTAGAAGTAATGACTAGAATAAAGGGAAGCCAGTGCGCGTTGAACATATTTATGTATCATTTCTACTTAAAAAGATAACAATTGTACATTATTTCACATTTTGACAATTCAATGAGATTTTTGGGAATCAAACCAATCGTGCAGAATTGATAAAATTGATTGATCGATCATCGATGTATACGTTCTAGATAACTTTGGTTTTCATTTTGGAAATGATAAATCCGGACGGCGAGCTCTCAAGTCAACCATAGTATTTTTGAGGCATTGAATCAACTAGAATATTTCTATCGATAGCGATAAGATTGTTCACGTTTGTGGGTGAACCTGAACACGCACGTAGCACATAGAATGAAGAAAACAAAGCATATTGAAATAATAACGAGAGGCGCTTTTATCTCGTTTTAGTTTATAAACGCAATTAGCTAAAATGAATTACTTATGATTTGACATAAAAAGAAGTATTCCGAGATAGGCCGAGATATGGGGCGCTCTTTTTTACTCACTGTGTTACTCATTCCTTCATCAATTTATCAATTCTTTCAGAAAAATCAATCAAATTGGAACTTTTCTTCAGGGAGTCTTTCGACAATGATACTACTGTTTCTCTAATATTTTAAACCACAACATACGTTGATTCATTAAAAATCAAGTTATGGCCTGAACCGAGTTTTTTTTTTCTCTTTCTCCCACATTTCCTTTATCGGTTTTGGACAGTTGTGGTATTACCTAATGAATACAAATGGGACCTGTGAACGATGCGACTAAACGTATGCTTTGATTTGTAGTAATGGCGATCATTAGGGGGTTTTCCATATTTGTTTATATCTTATTCGTCACATTATAGCTATGCTCACAGTGTTTATATATTGTCATTATGACATAGTCATTCAGGGTCTTCGATTACTACTCGCATGCTTTGCACTCAGTGCGACAATAAACAGCATAGCTAGTGCAACAAATTTGAAATCGCTGCAAAGTAATACAACTATGTGAGTTGGTGATTTCTTTGCTTTCATCATATATTTGTCCGTTGTGTTTTGCCAAAACGAGCGCAATGCAAGATTTTTATCCACATTTCAAAAAATATTCATTCGAATAAAATTGAAATTGAAATATTGATTCGAAAATTCATAAGAAACATATTCCCTTCATTCGTCATTTAATAGTTGGATTGGTAAAGAAAAAAGCGACGACCGGTAAACCGTAAAGACAACAGCATAAAAATAGAATCAAAAATGATAAAACATAGTTCAGTATTCAGCTCGGTTACTGTGATATTAGCATTAGTTTGTGTCCATGATGGCAAAGCATTCAATTTATCGCCCAAGCCAAACATCGTCCTACGAGAGCCGAAAACACTGGGCACTGGAATTCCAAAAATGCGTAGCTCATATTTTGGTTTCTCCTTGAATTTGAAACAAAACAGGTAAATACAATCTGAGTCTAATTGTAACGATACCGAAATTCAAAATGAATACATTTTCTGTAGTGTTTTAATCGGTACTCCGCGGGCCCAATCAACGCTGAGAACCCAGCGAAAAATCAATGAAACGGGCGCCATTTATAAGTGCACATTTGATAAATCTCCGGCTGGAAATTGTTCACCATTCATTTTCGATGAGTTGGGTAGTCATAGTGAACCCAACGACGAATATACTTTGAATAATGAAAAAAAGGTTCGTGCCGAAATAAAACAAATTTGATAATGCAAACAATGATCATTTGGTTTCTATTTTTGATCAGGATTATCAGTGGTTGGGAGCATCAATGGACGGCAGTGACAGCGAAAATGATAAGTTTGTGGTAAGTGAATCCGTGCAATAATTGTAAAAAGAGGAATCAAAAAAGTGTGCTATGATTTGGTGTTGTAGTACACACACAACGGCAAACAAATCATTTACGGCATTAATTTTTACAGTCAATATTTTGGAAACTCTTTCGAAAGAAGCATTTTATTGATTAAATTTTTGTCATATTTAAGGTATGTGCGCCGCGTATAATGTCCGATCAATCACGTGTATGGCCATGGCATTATTTGCTCCACGGCATCTGTTACTGGACAACAAATACATCTTCAAGTGAACCAATGAATGTGCAGAAAATAGCTCCGCTTCGATTAAAATCAAGTCAGCAGTTGAAAGTTAGCAAAAAACCTTACTATATTTACGGAGAGCAGGGTCTGAGCGTGCATATCACGGAAAATATGGAAGAGATTTTGATTGGAGCTCCAGGTATTTTCGGCTGGTGCGGTTCAGTAATTCGTCACAAGGCAAAGCTATTAGTTGAAGATTACAATTTGAGTCGACGCAAAAGGCAGCAAACTGAAATGGACCCAATAGAGTATAGCAGTGATGTTCCCAATCCAAAGCTATGGAATCAAGAATTTGATTCATATTTTGGCTTTGCCGTTTCATCGGGATATTTCGACGGCTCATTCAATGGGATTGAGAATTCTCAACTACTCTATGTTGCTAGTGCACCAAAAGCAAATATGGCGTTTGGTGCTGTTTATATTTTTGACATTGTTGACTCACCTTCGACCGATAAAACCATTAAAATTTACCACATATTTGCGGGTCAACAAATGGGCGAGTATTTTGGATATTCTCTCCTCACAGAGGACTTTAATAACGATGGTTTCCCTGACATCGCCATTGGAGCTCCATATAATTCAAAGGCGGGAACTCATGAGAATGGAGCCGTTTATATCTATAAAAACGAGGGAAGTTCGTCGAATTTTGCATTGCATGCGGTTCTACGAACGGACTTTGAGTTTGATGGCCGCTTCGGAACAACCATTTCGAAAGTTGGAGACATTAACCAAGATGGAT